TTTCGAATTTTACGTCACCAAATATATTTAATCATTATTTGGGGATATTCGATCACGCTGGCGTGAGAATCAAATTTTCAGATCATTAAAAAAACATTTTCGATAAAAAATTTTGGGATATTCGATCACGCTAAAAAGGCTATTTTTTTCCGTCACCAATCATTTTCGATCGTCTCTTTGGGGATATTCGATCACGCTGGCGTGAGGCGAATTTTTACGTCACCAAACATTTTCGATCGTCTCTTTTGTAATATTCGATCACGCTGGTGTGAGGCGAATTTTTCCGTCACCAAACATTTTCGATCGACTCTTTTTTAATATTCGATCACATCGACGTGATTCATTTCGACATCAATTGTCTCTTTTCGGATATTCGAAAAAATAATTGAAATGAAAAAAAAAATTTTTTAAAATCGATAAATAAATGTTTCATCCGGAAAAAGATAAAACCTATAGCTTAGCATATTTAGAAAGAAAGAATCGATATGATGGGCTGTGAGAATCCCCTTAGTAGGATAGCAGAGAAATAAATATTTGATTAAATATGGGAGAATTAATAAATTTGAAAAAAAAACAAGGATAGGCAGGATTGAAAAATTTTTAAAATAAAAAGCGGGACGAGTCAGTCGGACAATTATAGATATAAATAAGTAGGGTATTAAATGGAAAATTATTTTATGTAGATTAATTAGATGGATATACACAATTTGAAAAAGCCCGGATTTTTTTTTTTCCTTTTTTTTCTAATTCATAAATAAGAACAGCATAAAAGATGAGAACAATAGTCCGAATATAAATATTAATATAAATGTTTTTTTAAATATTCTATTTATCTATATATATATATATATATATATATATATATATATATATATATATATATATAAAAATATATTTCAGGTTTATTTTATATTACCAATAAATAAATATATAGGAATGAATATATAAAATAATTTATTAACGTAATAATACAAATAGATATAAAAAAGGTTATTAGTTCCAGGAATGCCAAAGTTAATGGAAAAAAATATATATACAAAAGAAAAATTTATTGAAGATATCGCAAAAAAATATTTTTCTTACTGAGTCGACTTTATGTTATTTTCTTATGTTTTTCAACATTGTTTTACCTTTATATTAACTTTTGGATTTTTATATATTATTTACTCTGTCAAATGGACTATCGACTATAATATATATATACTCGACTCTGATATATTCATTGGCAGTTTATAAAATACACTCTGGGTGAGACCATTAAAAAATAAGGAAAAAAATTCAAAAAAATATATATATATATATATATAATATATATATATATATATATATATATAAATAAATATTAATGTTACAAAATTATTTAATATATTTTCTGTTTATGGATTATTTTTATAGATACAATTTTATATTAAATATATTAAATTATTGCCGGACTTAATCGATTTCATTGTATGTTGTCATGTTAGATACCGTTTCTATGAACACTAATGCGTATGTCCCAATCCTAATAATTACGTTGGACACTATTGTAAGTGGGGGTAATATGCTGTCTAAGTAGTCCACCACTAGCAGTGGTTTACCTACTTCACGGCGCTGGCGAGTACTGTATTTTGTTGATGTTATAAAGATTACCATTTCATTTCCAACCTCCGTTTTGGTTATTCATCATTCAGTAACTCTTTCTCGGTTAAAACATTTTCTTTCTTACTTTCTCGTCCTTCTCATCATTATTTTTCTTTCTGTTATATAACACTAGCAGTAGAGCCCGGCGTTGCCCGGGGATGTAACAGTAATAGATAGATCAAGTATCGACCATCATAAAGACTGAAAAATAAAATTGACAAAGATTATTGTCGGACACGCATGTCTTAATTAGTTTTATTTTTTTGTTTTGTTTTATTTTTTGTTTTGTTTTTTTTTACGAATTGGTCAAAACCAAACTCAAACAAAAACATTGTTTTCAATCGTTATGAGTCTACCGATTGAATAGAATTTTATTATAAACAATTGTCTTGTAAATAGAATTTTTTAAAGCATTCTGAATGTAAAAATAAAGAAAAAAGTGTAAGTAAGAGTTCTCATGTTTCAAAACATTTGCTACATGAGAACTCTTATGTAGCGATGGAATCATATTTTTAAATAAATAATTATATATTTATTAAAAATAATAACAAAAATACTAAAGAAATTTGGATTATTTGCCTAACGAGTTCTTTCCTATTTTCTATATATTTTTCACACACACACACACACACACACACACACACACACACACACACACACACACACACACACACACACACACGTTGAGGTTTTTTGTGTATATATATGTAACTATTGAGTTAGCCCAAATGTCTTGACTCACTTTATAGTCCACCAAGAGAAGGTTAACCAATCAGAAAACGTAGAATATTCAATCCGTCGTGTATAAAGGCGGCCATTTTATTTACTCTATCCGAATGTCCAGTGCCAGCTTGTTAGGCGAAGAGAAACAAAAGGACGAACTATGCTCTGCTACTTTTACCAAAATATCCACTGCTAACCTGAACAACGTGTTACTACTGTCTTTGAAATATTCACTGCTAACCTCTGGATTCTATACTCGAAGACGACCGTCATCATGAACAGCAACACACACACACACAAACACACACACACACACATATATATATATATATATATATATATAAAAAAAAAGAACATATATAGAGAGAGTGTTATATATTTTGTTTTACGCAATAATTTTTCTCAGTCATTTTGATGTATTTTGTCTTTTTCTGTTTTACTCCAAATCTCATACTCTGATGGTTAGCTTAAGTGCGACACAAGGCCAAAGGTTTGCTGCATCTAGTGAGGATCGAACTCACAGCTCAGTTGTTAATTGTTCTTGCACAGACAAGCTTGCTACCAATTACACAACATGCGTCTTTTATGCATACAATACAATTTCATTTACTCTGAAACGTGAATTGTTTTCATTGAAATAACCACCCCGGCAATGTCAGCTTTGCAAAAGGCATTTTTCTTTAGCTGATTGAATATTCTTCACAAGATAAAAGACCTTGAAAAAAAAAAACGGTAATTCAAGTTAACATCCGAAATTTAATCACCGAAAATTTCGCCATGCTTGATCGTGGGCTAGAAACAGCTGGAATTGGCGAGGAAATTCCTGAGCGAAACTCGCCATTAGTCCGGAAATGGGGCAAAGGGTAACGGACAATGAAAGATGATAGTGTGCTAAAACTATCATCACATTCAATTTATTTATTTTTTTTTCTCTGGGGAATATTAACTGGCTCAAGAATTGACTTTCTACTGCCATAATCACCGGTGCGTTGAAAATATCGCAGAGCTTTTCTTTGGCTGGATTTCAGCCCACCTAACCACATGGGCTCGATGGCATCGAAGAGAATTTCGTTTTCAATTTCCCCGTATCATCGCAGGACGAAACAGAATCTCAGATATATATATATATATATATATATATATATATATAGATGAATATATATATATATATATATATATATATATATATATATATATATATATATATATATATATATATGAATAGACTGATATAGTTAGCTAGCTAGATAGATAGATAAGAACAGGCTGAGATAGATGGATGTGAACAGGCTGAGATAGATAGATAGATAGATAGATAGATATGAATAGACTGAGATAGATAGATAGATAGATAATGAACTGAGATACTTAGATATGAACAGGCTGCTAGATTGATAGATAGATATTAATCGATGCCTATCCATTACTTTATAAATCAACAGTGAAAAACTTGAAAATTATCTAAAAATGTATATAACTCTTTTTTTTTATTCGAATATTTACATGTTCCGCCGAAAATCAAATATACGCCCTATACTCAAGTACAGCATATGTAAATATAACAAATTTAATTACAATTCAGTGGACTTACATCCGAACGTGTGTGCGCACGTATGTTTCTATGTACATGTTTGCGATGTTATTCGAATATAAGCATATGCTAGATAAATATTGGCTTTCAGCTCTGTCTCGTTTTCCTGCCCTTATCTCGTCTTCCCAACGTTATCACTGCTTCCGGCACATTTCCCCCGACGTAATGTTGGCTTCAACACCTTATGTCCTCATTCCTATCATCTCCGTTTCCCGTGCTTATTCTGTCATTTCTGAATTAAACTTCATTCCATGCCTTATATCGTCCTTACATTAAGTCGAATTCCCGGATTATCTCGACCTCTGTACGTTTTCCCCCTTTCACTTTCGACAAACGACTTTTTTTCTCGTCCACCCAGCTTTATCTCATCTAGGTTTCGATAATTAACCATTCCAACCGGCCTTATGTAGACTAACCGGTCTCATCTGGGCTCCCCGCCTTATTTCGCCCTCCTTGCCTTATCACGTGCAACTGGCTTTAACCGCTTTTATCTTGTCCATCCGGCCTTATCTCATCTAGCCGCTCATCTCTGTTTCTGTCCTTATCCATTCCTCCCGGCCTTATGTAGGCTAACCGCTCTCATCTCTGCTCTCTGCCTTATTTCACCCTTCTGGCCTTATCTTGTCCTACCGGCCTTACCTCGACTAACGGCTTTTATCTTGTCCATCCGGCCTTATCTCATCTAGCCGCTCATCTCTGTTTCTGTCCTTATCCATTCCTCCCGGCCTTATGTAGGCTAACCGCTCTCATCTCTGCTCTCTGCCTTATTTCACCCTTCTGGCCTTATCTTGTCCTACCGGCCTTACCTCGACTAACGGCTTTTATCTTGTCCATCCGGCCTTATCTCATCTAGCCGCTCATCTCTGTTTCTGTCCTTATCCATTCCTCGCGGCCTTATGTAGGCTAACCGCTCTCATCTCTGCTCTCTGCCTTATTTCACCCTTCTGGCCTTATCTTGTCCTACCGGCCTTACCTCGACTAACGGCTTTTATCTTGTCCATCCGGCCTTATCTCATCTAGCCGCTCATCTCTGTTTCTGTCCTTATCCATTCCTCCCGGCCTTATGGAGGCTAACCGCTCTCATCTCTGCTCTCTGCCTTATTTCACCCTTCTGGCCTTATCTTGTCCTACCGGCCTTACCTCGACTAACGGCTTTTTATCTTGTCCATCCGGCCTTATCTCATCTAGCCGCTCATCTCTGTTTCTGTCCTTATCCATTCCTCCCGGCCTTATGTAGGCTAACCGCTCTCATCTCTGCTCTCTGCCTTATTTCACCCTTCTGGCCTTATCTCTCGTCCTACCGGCCTTACCTCGACTAACCGCTTTTATCTCGTCCATCCGGCCTTATCTCATCTAGCCGCTCATCTCTGTTTCTGTCCTTATCCATTCCTCCCGGCCTTATGTGTAGGCTAACCGCTCTCATCTCTGCTCTCTGCCTTATTTCACCCTTCTGGCCTTATCTCGTCCCTACAGGCCTTACCTCGACTAACCGCTTTTTATCTCGTCCATCCGGCCTTATCTCATCTAGCTGCTCATCTCTGTTTCTGTCCTTATCCATTCCTCCCGGCCTTATGTAGGCTAACCGCGCTCTCATCTCTGCTCTCTGCCTTATTTCACCCTTCTGGCCTTATCTTGTCCTACCGGCCTTGTCCTCGACTAACGGCTTTTATCGTGTCCATCCGGCCTTATCTCATCTAGCCGCTCATCTCTGTTTCTGTCCTTATCCATTCCTCCCGGCCTTATGGAGGCTAACCGCTCTCATCTCTGCTCTCTGCCTTATTTCACCCTTCTGGCCTTATCTTGTCCCACTTCGGCCTTACCTCGACTAACGGCTTTTATCTTGTCCATCCGGCCTTATCTCATCTAGCCGCTCATCTCTGTTTCTGTCCTTATCCATTCCTCCCGGCCTTATGTAGGCTAACCGCTCTCATCTCTGCTCTCTGCCTTATTTCACCCCTTCTGGCCTTATCTTGTCCCACCGGCCTTACCTCGACTAACGGCTTTTATCTTGTCCATCCGGCCTTATCTCATCTAGCCGCTCATCTCTGTTTCTGTCCTTATCCATTCCTCCCGGCCTTTATGGAGGCTAACCGCTCTCATCTCTGCTCTCTGCCTTATTTCACCCTTCTGGCCTTATCTTGTCCTACCGGCCTTACCTCGACTAACGGCTTTTATCTTGTCCATCCGGCCTTATCTCATCTAGCCGCTCATCTCTGTTTCTGTCCTTATCCATTCCTCCCGGCCTTATGTAGGCTAACCGCTCTCATCTCTGCTCTCTGCCTTATTTCACCCTTCTGGCCTTATCTCGTCCTACCAGCCTTACCTCGACTAACCGCTTTTATCTTGTCCATCCGGCCTTATCTCATCTAGCCGCTCATCTCTGTTTCTGTCCTTATCCATTCCTCCCGGCCTTATGTAGGCTAACCGCTCTCATCTCTGCTCTCTGCCTTATTTCACCCTTCTGGCCTTATCTCGTCCTACAGGCCTTACCTCGACTAACCGCTTTTATCTCGTCCATCCGGCCTTATCTCATCTAGCCGCTCATCTCTGTTTCTGTCTTATCCATTCCTCCCGGCCTTATGTAGGCTAACCGCTCTCATCTCTGCTCTCTGCCTTATTTCACCCCTTCTGGACTTATCTCGTCCTACCGGCCTTACCTCGACTAACGGCTTTTATCTTGTCCATCCGGCCTTATCTCATCTAGTCGCTCATCTCTGTTTCTAACAGCCTCATCTCCTTATCCATTCCTCCCGGCCTTATGTCCTTAGGCTAACGCTAACGGCTTTTATCTCATCTCTGCTCTCTCTGCCTTATTCCCGGCCTTATGTAGGCTAACCGCCTCCCTTCTGGCCTTTGGCCTTATCTCGTCCTTCCGGCCTTACCTCGACTAACGGCTTTTATCTTGTCCATCCGGCCTTATCTCATCTAGCCGCTCATCTCTGTTTCTGTCCTTATCCATTCCTCCCGGCCTTATGTAGGCTAACCGCTCTCATCTCTGCTCTCTGCCTTATTTCACCCCTTCTGGCCTTATCTTGTCCTACAGGCCTTACCTCGACTAACGGCTTTTATCTCGTCCATCCGGCCTTATCTCATCTAGCTGCTCATCTCTGTTTCTGTCCTTATCCATTCCTCCCGCCTTATGTAGGCTAACCGTTCTGTCTCATCTCTGCTCTCTGCCTTATTTCACCCTTCTGGCCTTATCTTGTCCTACCGGCCTTACCTCGACTAACGGCTTTTTATCTTGTCCATCCGGCCTTATCTCATCTAGCCGCTCATCTCTGTTTCTGTCCTTATCCATTCCTCCCGGCCTTATGTAGGCTAACCCCGCTCTCATCTCTGCTCTCTGCCTTATTTCACCCCTTCTGGCCTTATCTCGTCCTACCGGCCTTTACCTCGACTAACGGCTTTTATCTTGTCCATCCGGCCTTATCTCATCTAGCCACTCATCTCTGTTTCTGTCCTTATCCATTCCTCCCGGCCTTATGTAGGCTAACCGCTCTCATCTCTGCTCTCTGCCTTATTTCACCCTTCTGGCCTTATCTCGTCCTACCGGCCTTACCTCGACTAATGGCTTTTATCTTGTCCATCCGCCTTATCTCATCTAGCCACTCATCTCTGTTTCTGTCCTTATCCATTCCTCCCGGCCTTATGTAGGCTAACCGCTCTCATCTCTGCTCTCTGCCTTATTTCACCCTTCTGGACTTATCTCGTCCCACTGGCCTTACCTCGACTAACCGCTTTTATCTTGTCCATCCGGCCTTATCTCATCTAGCCGCTCATCTCTGTTTCTGTCCTTATCCATTCCTCCCGGCCTTATGTAGGCTAACCGCTCTCATCTCTGCTCTCTGCCTTATTTCACCCCCTTCTGGCCTTATCTCGTCCTACAGGCCTTACCTCGACTAATGGCTTTTATCTTGTCCATCCGGCCTTATCTCATCTAGCCGCTCATCTCTGTTTCTGTCCTTATCCATTCCTCGGCCTTATGTAGGCTAACCGCTCTCATCTCTGCTCTCTGCCTTATTTCACCCCTTCTGGACTTATCTCGTCCTACAGGCCTTACCTCACTAACGGCTTTTATCTTGTCCATCCGGCCTTATCTCATCTAGTCTCTCATCTCTGTTTCTGTCCTTATCCATTCCTCCCGGCCTTATGTAGGCTAACCGCTCTCATCTCTGCTCTCTGCCTTATTTCACCCTTCTGGCCTTTATCTCGTCCTTCAGGCCTTACCTCGACTAACGGCTTTTATCTTGTCCATCCGGCCTTATCTCATCTAGCCTCTCATCTCTGTTTCTGTCCTTATCCATTCCTCCCGGCCTTATGTAGGCTAACCGCTCTCATCTCTGCTCTCTGCCTTATTTCACCCTTCTGGCCTTATCTCGTCCCACAGGCCTTACCTCGACTAACGGCTTTTATCTTGTCCATCCGGCCTTATCTCATCTAGCCGCTCATCTCTGTTTCTGTCTCATCCATTCCTCCCGGCCTTATGTAGGCTAACCGCTCTCAACCTCTCCTCATCTCTGCTCTCTGCCTTATTTCACCCTTCTGGCCTTATCTTGTCCTACCGGCCTTACCTCGACTAACGCCTTTTTATCTTGTCCATCCGGCCTTATCTCATCTAGCCGCTCATCTCTGTTTCTGTCCTTATCCATTCCTCCTGGCCTTATGTAGGCTAACCGCTCTCATCTCTGCTCTCTGCCTTATTTCACCCTTCTGGCCTTATCTCGTCCTACCGGCCTTACCTCGACTAACCGGCTTTTATCTTGTCCATCCGGCCTTATCTCATCTAGCCGCTCATCTCTGTTTCTGTCCTTATCCATTCCTCCCCCGGCCTCTGCCTTATTTCACCCCTTCTGGCCTTATCTCGTCCCACAGGCCTTACCTCGACCGCTTTTATCTCGTCCATCTCTTATCTCATCTAGCGCTCATCTCTGTTTCTGTCCTTATCCATTCCTGGCCTTATGTTATCTCTGTCTCTGCCTTATTTCACCCTTCTGGACTTATCTCGTCCCTACAGGCCTTTTACCTCGACTAACGGCTTTTTATCTTGTCCATCCGGCCTTATCTCATCTAGCCGCTCATCTCTGTTTCTGTCCTTATCCATTCCTCCCGGCCTTATGTAGGCTAACCGCTCTCATCTCTGCTCTCTGCCTTATTTCACCCTTCTGGCCTTTATCTTGTCCTACCGGCCTTACCTCGACTAATGGCTTTTATCTTGTCCATCCGGCCTTATCTCATCTAGCCGCTCATCTCTGTTTCTGTCCTTATCCATTCCTCCCGGCCTTATGTAGGCTAACCGCTCTCATCTCTGCTCTCTGCCTTATTTCACCCTTCTGGCCTTATCTTGTCCTACCAGGCCTTACCTCGACTAACGGCTTTTATCTTGTCCATCCGGCCTTATCTCATCTAGCCGCTCATCTCTGTTTCTGTCCTTATCCATTCCTCCCGGCCTTATGTAGGCTAACCGCTCTCATCTCTGCTCTCTGCCTTATTTCACCCTTCTGGCCCTTATCTTGTCCTACCGGCCTTACCTCGACTAACGGCTTTTTATCTTGTCCATCCGGCCTTATCTCATCTAGCTGCTCATCTCTGTTTCTGTCCTTATCCATTCCTCCCGGCCTTATGTAGGCTAACCGCTCTCATCTCTGCTCTCTGCCTTATTTCACCCTTCTGGCCTTATCTCGTCCTACCGGCCTTACCTCGACTAACGGCTTTTTATCTTGTCCATCCGGCCTTATCTCATCTAGCCACTCATCTCTGTTTCTGTCCTTATCCATTCCTCCCGGCCTTATGTAGGCTAACCGCTCTCATCTCTGCTCTCTGCCTTATTTCACCCTTCTGGACTTATCTCGTCCCACCGGCCTTACCTCTAACGGCTTTTATCTTGTCCATCCGGCTTTATCTCATGTCCATCATCTCTGTTTCTGTCCTTATCCATTCCTCCCCGGCCATGTAGGCTAGCGCTCTCATCTCTGTCTCTGCCTTATTTCACCCCTTCTCCTTATCTCGTCCTACAGGCCTTACCTCTCGACTAACCGCTTTTATCTTGTCCATCCGGCCTTATCTCATCTAGCCGCTCATCTCTGTTTCTGTCCTTATCCATTCCTCCCGGCCTTATGTAGGCTAACCGCCTCATCTCTGCTCTCTGCCCACCCCTTCTGGCCTTATCTCGTCCTACAGGCCTTACCTCGACTAACCTGCTTTTATTCGTCCATCCGGCCTTATTCATCTAGCCGCTCATCTCTGTTTCTGTCCTATCCATTCCTCCCGGCCTTATGTAGGCTAACCGCTCTCATCTCTGCTCTCTGCCTTATTTCACCCTTCTGGCCTTATCTCGTCCTACCGGCCTTACCTCGACTAACGGCTTTTATCTTGTCCATCCGGCCTTATCTCATCTAGCCGCTCATCTCTGTTTCTGTCCTTATCCATTCCTCCCGGCCTTATGTAGGCTAACCGCTCTCATCTCTGCTCTCTGCCTTATTTCACCCTTCTGGCCTTATCTCGTCCTACAGGCCTTACCTCGACTAACGGCTTTTATCTTGTCCATCCGGCCTTATCTCATCTAGCCGCTCATCTCTGTTTCTGTCCTTATCCATTCCTCCCGGCCTTATGTAGGCTAACCGCTCTCATCTCTGCTCTCTGCCTTATTTCACCCTTCTGGACTTATCTCGTCCTACCGGCCTTACCTCGACTAACGGCTTTTATCTTGTCCATCCGGCCTTATCTCATCTAGCCACTCATCTCTGTTTCTGTCCTTATCCATTCCTCCCGGCCTTATGTAGGCTAACCGCTCTCATCTCTGCTCTCTGCCTTATTTCACCCTTCTGGCCTTATCTCGTCCTACAGGCCTTACCTCGACTAACCGCTTTTATCTCGTCCATCCGGCCTTATCTCATCTAGCCGCTCATCTCTGTTTCTGTCCTTATCCATTCCTCCCGGCCTTATGTAGGCTAACCGCTCTCATCTCTGCTCTCTGCCTTATTTCACCCTTCTGGCCTTATCTCGTCCTACAGGCCTTACCTCGACTAACGGCTTTTATCTTGTCCATCCGGCCTTATCTCATCTAGCCGCTCATCTCTGTTTCTGTCCTTATCCATTCCTCCCGGCCTTATGTAGGCTAACCGCTCTCATCTCTGCTCTCTGCCTTATTTCACCCTTCTGGCCTTATCTTGTCCTACCGGCCTTACCTCGACTAACGGCTTTTATCTTGTCCATCCGGCCTTATCTCATCTAGCCGCTCATCTCTGTTTCTGTCCTTATCCATTCCTCCCGGCCTTATGTAGGCTAACCGCTCTCATCTCTGCTCTCTGCCTTATTTCACCCTTCTGGCCTTATCTTGTCCTACCGGCCTTACCTCGACTAACGGCTTTTATCTTGTCCATCCGGCCTTATCTCATCTAGCCGCTCATCTCTGTTTCTGTCCTTATCCATTCCTCCCGGCCTTATGTAGGCTAACCGCTCTCATCTCTGCTCTCTGCCTTATTTCACCCTTCTGGCCTTATCTCGTCCTTCCGGCCTTACCTCGACTAACGGCTTTTATCTTGTCCATCCGGCCTTATCTCATCTAGCCACTCATCTCTGTTTCTGTCCTTATCCATTCCTCCCGGCCTTATGTAGGCTAACCGCCTTATTTCGTCCTCTTGGTCTTATCTCGTCTACCCGGCCTTATCTCATCTCGGTTTCTATACCTAACCATTACTCCCGGCCTTATGTAGGCTAACTGCTCTCATCTGGTCTCCCCATCTTATTTCGCCCTCCTTGCTTTATCTCGACCTCCCAGCCTTACCTCGATTAACCGCTTTTATCTCGTCCATCGGGTCTTATCTCATCTAGCCGCTAATCTCGGTTTCTCTCTTTATCCATTCCTCCCGCGCTTTTTCTCGGTTTCCCGCCCTATTTGTTCCTCTTCCTCTGCCTCCCACCTCTTTTTTACCCTTTTATTTTACCATCCTTATCTCGTCTTCACGATTATGTTAACTTATCTCTGCTTCCCGACCTTATCTCGGCCTCTGGTCTTTCCTCCCCTTTTTTGATTTCTTGAACTTTTCTGTTCTTTCCGTCTTAATACCGGTTTCCTGTGCTTAACTCCTCTATCCAACCTCATTAGGTCTTTCCTACTTTATCTCGGCTTCCGAATACCAAATCTTACCGGCCATACCTCATCTTTACGGCCTTATCTCTGTCTTCCTGGCTTTATCTCCTATTCGCTAACTTCTTGCCCACCTTATCTTCATTTCCGAATTCCTCACATCTTCCGGCCTTATCTCGTCTTCCCGGCCTTATCTCGTAGTCGATAACTTACATCATTTTTCCCACCTCATCTCAGTCCCCCTCCTCATAAACATATCTCGTCTTCCAGGCCTTATCTTGTCGCTTCAATTCTTCGTGATCTCCTGTTAATAAGCATACAGTCATTTTTTTAAAAAAAAATTGTGCCTTTGGCGTCTTTTAAAGATTTTCTTTTCATCAGAACTAGACCACATGTGTCGATAAAAAAAAATTGTATCTTTCTTTATCATTCCGTTTTAAGAGACTTTTTTTTAAGATACTGATACCAAACGATAAATTACCATTCTCAACAGTACGTATTCAGTTTCTATTGGAATCAAATTATGGCTACGCAATCAGAATAAATGTATTGGCATATGTCGCGAACGAAGTGTAATTTTGGTTGGAGCGCCAATTTCAAATATTAACCCTATGGAATTGTCGACTCTAGTGTCTGGAAACTAGTATTCCCTTAATGGTTGAATTTCCATGTTCAGACTTTACCAAAATTAAAAAAACAATCTGTTCTTAAAAAACTTATGCCAGTTATATGATAAAATAAGCTAGTATAAGACAGAAACGGAAACATTATGATCGATACGATTTTCATCTGTCTGTTCATCTATCTATCTATCTATCTATCTATCTATATCTAACAAAACAAGAAATCTACTGCTCTAGACAACTAGCAGAACGAATTAATCACCCAACAACCACTTACATTAACCAACTATGTTATTACACAGAATACCAGCCTAATGACCTTGATGGATGGCAGTGGTGTTTGCCGTGAGAGATTCATGAGGGTCCAATATCTATCTATCTATCTATCTATCTATCTATCTATCTATCTATCTATATGTATGTCTGTCTGTTTATCTATCTATCTGACTATCTCAAAATTTTCAAATCTCAGGCTATTCATATCTATCTATCCATTGATCGCAAAATTTTTAAATTTCAGGTTATTCCTATCGCTCTCTCCCCTCTCTCTCTCTCTCTCTCTCTCTCTCTCTCTCTCTATCTATCTATCTATCTATCTATCTCAAAATTTTCAAATCTCAGGCTATTCATATCTATCTAACTATCCATCTATCTCGCTCAAAATGTTAAAATCTCAGACTCTTTCTTTCTTTCTTTCTTTCTTTCTTTCTATCTATCTATCTATCTATCTATCTCACTCAAACATTTAAAATCTGAGACTGTTTCTATCTATCTATCTATCTATCTATCTATCTATCTCTCTATCTATCTCGAACATTTCAAATATCGACATCATGTAATTGTCGACTCCAGAATCTGGAAAACACTCCTTCCTTAATCATTGAATTTCTATGTGCAGACTTTTCCATACTAAAAAAATATATCATCTTACGAACAAGCTGTTATGAAGTATTTGAAAAATATAAGCAGTTATTTGATAATCACACACAGGCGGAGTCATTAAGGTTGCTACTGTTTTGTAAAAGTCAAAAAATCCATCGCATTGGAATTATACTTGTTTTCAGTAGAAACGTCCAACTATGATTAATTCATTACTCACGAGTCGATGTGAATAGCAATAAAAAAAAAGTCTTGAGTCATTTTTCTGATACGATCGATTTTGCTCAGTGTTCGTCGAATTAGTCAACCGTGGTCAATGTTTATAGGTCAGCGCTTATTGACACGGCCGAAACAACATGGACTTTATAAAGAGTTGCGTTTAACATGGAAATAAATTCAAACAGTATGGCGGACCGGAAATGCGCCTTCCTTCACATTTCTTCCAAAATTATGCACCACAAATCTTGTTAATAATCGAATCAGTTCGTGGTCAAATTTCCTGTTGATATATGTAAAAAAAAAAAAAAAAAAAAATGGTTATATATTTTGTTTCCCAGAGTCATCTGTTTGGTATATTTCTTCTTCGTTGGCGATAATGGCTCTCTACGATTTCTTACCCTTCACAAATTTTGTCCTTTTGTTATCTCTACTAATCCCTATTTTTTCCGACCATAAATTTTTCTTCTTTGGGGCGCGTCCCTTCACAACCTTGACGATCATGGGTTACCACAAGTCCCCATTTGTTGTAGCTCTTAATAAATTTTGTCTTTTTTTTTTGAATCTGTCCTAAACTTTGTTCCGCCATCCATTTACTAATGGATGGCGGAAGTAGCTAAGTAGCGTATGGTTTTTCTGAAGGTCCCCAGTTGGGATAAAAGTCTTGAAGATCAAGGTGGTAGATGACGTCCATCTGAAATGGTCAGTCAACATCTGCAAGGACTAGACGAAAAAATACCCACGTCAATGTGTCAGATAAATATCTCACATAACGGACGTCGGCATTTAAACTATATCGGACCCTCTCAAGAAAAATGTCAACGTGAAGAAACTTGATGAATGGGGTTCAGTGAAAATCGAACAGTTCGATTTGTTTTTTTTTTTTGACGTATGTTCTATGCTGGATCTGCGAAAATCGAATGATCCAATTCTTTATCAAACTTGTAACGAGAAATGATAATCGTAGACGATCGGCCTCATCACAACGACGCACGCGAACACTTTCCATAATCGGAATACCAGAAACAAAATATTATGGTGCCTGTCTCTTGGTTTACCATTAGCGTTATTCATTGTAGCTTTCTAGAATCGAATAAGGGCATAACTTCTAAATTTTAATGTCAGCAGATGGATGAAATGCACATTCAGTCAAGCAGATTGAACCAGCATTGGTCAATCGACGAGGCACCATTCTGCTTAAAGATATTTTCTGACACGTGTTCTCAGTAATGACTCTGCCAATGCTCACCAATTTGGGATTACGAGACTCGCTGATGTCTCGCCCACTGATTAGCACTTTTTCAAGTATATTTTCAATTTTTTAAGCCAGAAGACATTCCGTTGCAAAGAAGATTCCGAAACTGCATTCAAAGTTTTCTTAGCGTCTGAGCCTTTACAGTTTTATTGTAAAGGTATACAAAACGTTATAACAAAATAACAGAAATGTAGAGATGTTCAGGGATCCAAATTTGACTGATTTAAACACTGTTTAAATACATAAATTCAGACATGAAATGGACAAAGACCGACAATTATTTTAAGACTTTTTTAAAAAAAATGTTTATACGTTCTTTTTATAGATAAATATATTTAAGCAGTAAATGCTCTGTTTATAATAAACAGTATTAACGACAATTACCGGCCTGCACATTTTCTATGAAAATTTCTGGGACATTCAGTTTATTATAAACAGAGCATTTACTTAAATATTGTATCAATAAAAAGAACGTATAAACATAAAAAAAATATCTTAAAATAATTGTCAGACTTTGTCCATTTCATAATGTGTGACGTTATTTGTTTACATTTGGATACGCATCGAGCAGATATGAATGTACGAGAGAAAATCATGGAGAATTTTGGTTTAAAAACAGTAAAATTGACCTTGCTAACCGAAACGCTCCTCTGTTGCTAAATTGGTAAAAGCACGTCAGGCTATATGACGGTTCCGTATAGGATACAGGTTCGATTCCTGAAGGAGGACGCATATTTTCTATGACAATTTCTCGGATATTCAGGCCGGTAAATATTGTTAATACAGTTTATTATAAACAGAGCGTTTACTTAAATATTTGTATCTATAAAAAGAACGTATAAACATAAAAAATGGCTTAACCTAAATTCTGGAATAAACGTTGATTCGAAAATATCGTAAAGGTGTAAATAACCTTGCAACTCGATGAGATAGATGTCCAGGGACTCAATTTTGACGAATTTAAACACTGTTTAAATACATTAATTCAGGAATAAATTTTGATTCTTAAATTCAAAATGATTTACTGAACAACCTTATATATATATTTGTCCAGATTCTATATCCTATTTTAAAGACTGTCGTGGATTCCAAGTTGAAATCCGGTACCAATAAATAACAAACACTAGGAATGAATATAGGAAAAATAATGTACTAACGTAATAATACAAACTGGTAAAGCAGGTTAGTAGATACAGGAATACGGGTTAGTAGCAAAATATATATATACCGTCTTTGGTATTGAAATATCGCTGTATGACTTCTTACTGAGTCTACGTGCTCTCTCACTGTGACTCCTACAACGCTGTCACCTCACCCTCACTCTTCTGGTTACCTACAATCTTTTACTCTGTCACTCTGGACTCGACTCGACTCCTAGGATATTCACTGGCAGTAGTATAAGTATACACTGGGTGAGTCCATTTGTATAAAAAGGAGTGGACCCCTAAACAAAGACATATTGTCTACACGGAAAATGGAATGCCCTTAAAAACAAATACATCTTTTATTTTCAACACATTCTGGAGGATTGGAGGAAGAATTTCATGGATTCATTTCAGAAAAGGCGATATGAATTTCTTGCTTTCGAGCCATTTGACCTCTAATTCCATACAAAGAAGCTGGGGAAAACTGATTTTCTAAGCGCAGCTTAGATGTGGCATAAAGCCGCCAGTATGGAGGCACCGAATGAGGATCAATTGAGCATTCCGTCTTAATTGGTCTAGCAAATTAAACTTTCCGAGCTGCTCGGCCCGGAGGCTAGGATCAAAGTGTAGTACGCTGCCTTTGTGAGCTTCCGAGTCGGCGTCTGTCGAACTCTCTGCATTAGCAGAGAGGAACCCAGACGAAGCTTTGCCGAAGGGCAGGTTTCGTTCAGGGGAGGAGATAGGGATTAACCCGTCTTAGGCGGGTTCAAAAGGCCATATATTTTTGGCCGAGCCTACGGGCTCGGGGATACCCACATTAAACCGGCCTTGTGCCACATTCTATTCTCGTGGGTGGATCGATAAATACTGAGCAAATTAAACTTTCTAACCATTACATCACGTCGAAGTTCCCCAAAGTGATTTTCTAAGCGTAGCTTAGATATGGCACAACGCCGAATGTATGGGGTACCCAGTGAGGATCGAACTCACTACTCAGTCGTAATTCTTCTAGCGAGACAAGCTTGTTCACCATTACAACACGTCGAAGTGCCCACACCAGATATGGTGGTTTCCTCAACGTAGATTAAATTTGGCAGAAGGTCAAATGTATGGGGTAACCAATGAAGATCGAACTCACTCGTAATTGTTCCAGCACGACAAGCTTGTTAACCATTACTCCATGCCGAGGTGCCCCAAAACTGGGAAAATATATTAATACCATTGGACATGAACTAAGAATTATAAAGAAAAGATACTGAATAAATATTAACGCTCTTTTAAAAAAAGTTATTCATTTTCATTCTTATATTTTTTATTATTTCACGAGAAACGCCAGCTAAGGGCAATGGGCAGTGATTCAGTATTTAAGCATAAACATAAATATACACACACATTTCTTTGTTTCGTTTTTGGATCTCATGAAGCCTAGAAAGGTGAAACGCGTAATCAAATTTGGTTTCAAGGAAACGATTTTCCATTTCTCAAATTTAAAACATAATTGTCGGTATTCAAAATCCATTTTAAACAAACACACACACAGACATATCTATCTATCTATCTATATATATATATATATATATATATATATATATATATATATATATATATATACACTACATTATTCGGACTATTGTCTTCATCTTGGTCGCTATATTTATTACGAAGTTTCGGTCGTTGTACGCTCCAGCCTTCTTCAGGTGGTTGGAATGTCGAACTG